CCATACCAACGAAAATGAGCGGCAAAACTCAGCAAAACAGTTACAAGGATGGTCGAAATTACACTTCGGTTATTGGCAATTGATGAAATTGCACTACTATGAAATCGTATCAAACAGGAGATCAGTTGGTTCTAGAAGATAAAACGCGCTTTGATGTAAGTGAACGGTAAAGGGAATGGCACATCTACTAAAGTTCGTACTGCTTAAATCAAATTCCTTGTCTATTTACAGATGTTTCAGGAACTCCATTATAGCATCCAATTTATACACTTCTTCTTGCGAAAGCTTTCGATAGTAGTGATCGCGCCTATCTCGGAGATCTCTCAATTCCTGCAAGGTACATTTTTTGACATTTCAGGAAGGGATATGTTCTGACGCTATTCGTCTATGACAACCCTAATTCCTTCAAAAATTGCTAAAACCTAGGCTACAGGGGCTATTCGGTGGAATAGTCACGACTTTTAGGCCCAAAAAAATCTCTCGCAATCGCTAATGCTTTAAAGCGCTCATTTGGTGTTTAGGGGATGATAGCCCTGCCTACAAGCAACCAGAGCATGCACTAGTTTCGCATTTCAGAAATACGTGAGGAATAAACGCCGCCCGCCGCCGCACCGGGTGAAAACCACGACTTCGCCCACTCCACGGCAACGTCCAACTTTCATTTTTGAGTGCTACCTGATGGTGCGTATGGTGAGAGTGAGGTGAGAAGGAGAAAAGAGCTGTCCACACCGCCACCAAACAAGTGAAACAAACTCGTCGCGATCACTGCCCACCCTTTCAGTCTTAATGGGCACGTACAAGCGGGCGGTTTCTGGGCAATAGATTCTATAATGGCATATTAGCGGGGTGGTTCAATGTGCTTTCTTTCGGCCACTTCGTGTGTTCATTAGCACCTTTTTGCCTTAAAGTATATGACAGTCCCCCCCCCGTAAAAATCACAATTTTTGAACCCCGTTCCTGCCATTAACAGACTTTTTGCGACCTAAAAAGAATACTAAAGCAACGATGACCTCTGTAGACAGGAGTTTCAGCAATTTTTCCAAGATTTAGGTTGGAATGATCTAATAGTGCCAAATTATTTTATTATCACCTGGATACAACTCTCAGCTTTCTTCTTTCTCTCTTCGGCAGCAACATCCACTCCAATGGAACTGATCGGCCCTCGAGCGCAGTTTCGCAGTGAATCTATTAGACCAGTAGCGATACATTGCAAAGACGACAAAGCGACTTGGCGGCACGATTCAGGCAAGGAGGTGTCCTCCAGAAATTCTGAAAAGTCCTGAGCTAAACGCGAGGCTATCAACCAGTTCACCAGAAAATAATTTATAGAAATGTGAGACTTCCTCCGGAACATGACTGAATTTGTGCTTTTACAGCTGAACCCTGATATCCCTTCTTACTAAAGGATGAATGCAAAAGTAAAGGTTAATCTGAGTGAAACAACCTATTTATACAATGCACCGCGCAACCAACTTCACAAGAAGGTCTTGTGGACTGGATATTTTTTGGGATTCTACAGAACTCATGAAAGGTTTCGCTCAGGGACGCTTACCTTAGTTCCAGGTTCAAAGCAAGCAAATGGAGTATGTTAGCCCTGCATGAGGAGACTGGGTCATTTCTTCGTTCACGACAAGCGCAGCCTTAGGAATCTAACGAAATTGGGCTCAACTGCGGTGTCCCATCCTCTTACGCTTGCAAACGTCTCCATCAATCGGAATTAGGAGTGGCAGGACTGTGTTTTCTCACAAGTTGAGCCTGGTTAAGAAATTTTCGTAAGAATCCAGAAAACAGGAAGTAATAAGCGCGTAAAATCTACTGGCTCAGAAAAAAGGAAGAAACATTCAGGATGGCCATAACTGCACTGAATAAATAGAGACCGCTTATGGGAAATATATTCATTTGGTTGTTTTCGCTTCTTTATGTGGATTATTCGATTCAACACAATCAGAAGGCGCATAAGGTCACAGACCCTCGAGAACCAAGCCCCTCAACTTCAGCGATTTACATAACACGATCGATTCCAAACCGTGTAAAATATCTGCCAATGCACTGGATTTAAGTGGACTGTTTCAAGAGTAAGGGACTCACTCCGGTGTGGATGAGCCACTTATCTGGAATGTGTGAGGTCACAGTGATCGTATAACGCCATATAGACACGGGAGAAGGCCAAATACTTGGCGCTGCCACGTAGACCCGCTCAACCGCATTAGCATCTTCCTATTTGCTCTGAAATGATGTAGGTCACATTTGAGAATCAGAGTTCACATAATCAAATTACGAAAAGAGCAGTTCGCCTTGGTGGGGTCGCCAAAACGAACTGCGTTCTTTTCGTAATTCAACACTTAATAGCGAAACCTGTACAGGCCACCTTGTGACGACCTGTAAAACCATGTAAGCAAACCGGCTCACTTGTATCTTGCATATCTCTCAAATCCTTTCTGGAATGGTCTCTCCCATCGAGCCACGTTCTGAAGAAGACGATGCGAGACGAAACAAAAATCTTAGTTTTTCTTTTAGCTAATCGGAGATGATGATGGTACGTTGAGATCGAGTATAGCAGAGGGCAGAGCGATACGAGTAACGTTTACGATTCATCCCAAAGGACGTTTCCATCTTGGTTTCCTCATGGGGCTTTTAAAAATGAAGGTTAGCCCCTATAGTTCTGCTACGTTTTCCTTCACTATCTCTACAAAATATTTCAGTCAATAGTCAGTAGAGGAATCAGCATAGAAGGAATTGTTCTGATTTCTGATATGGAAGCCTTTCTTGATAATGAGAAGGTAATTGCACTTATTGTGTTTCTTTCAAAAGCTTGCGTTCAAATATTTGGTCGTTTAGGTGTCCTGGAATGCTCGAGAGGCTCGAAGTGAATATTTCTACCAGATTTGCTCTTTCTTTATCGAGCACCTTGGTCTGAAGGACAGCGTCAGAGCTCTTAAATCTGCTGACATAGATTCTGTTTTCTCAAAGTGTGTAGTTTTTGTTTTTGTTGATTGGAGAAACTTGCCGAAGTAATGCTCGTATGCACTTGCATGCTTTACAGAGATTACGTGCTGAACATGTACAAAATGGCCTCTTCCGTGACTCGCGATGAGACTACAGTTTGTGAAGGTGTGCTTCGTAATTTTTACTATTAGAAATACGCTATACTGGCTGATTTCTGGCTTGTTTTTATCAAAGAATCTGAGATTCGATGATTCTAGGAACGTCGTTGTCCGGCAATTTGGTACCGCTATTCTATGCGCTCAACCATCATTTACTCAAAACTGACCTGGCCATTTTGGGTGAAGATTCAGTGGCGATTGCTAATCTTGCAGTGAAGGTTTGTCAACATTTGAAAATGTAAAAAAAAGAAAATGTAAATCTCACTTGTTTCGGTAACATGTTTTTTTTAGCTGTGGTCCCGCATGAAGACACAAGTTCCTACTCAAGTGGCGTTTTCAACTCTCCCTGGTTGTGACGGCAAGAAGATGTCGTGCTCAAACCCTGACTTCCTCTTGGAAGCATTTGATACCCCAAAACAAGTAAAGGTCAAAGTGGCGCGGTGAGCAATAATGTTGTATGCCATCATTTACTCGAATATGAACAGAATTTAGGTCGTTTTGCGAGCCGCAAAACCTGAAAGGAAATGTCGCCATGATGTTGTCCCAACAATTTATTTTCCCTCTACTCAGTGGATCAAGTTTGTTGTATACAGTATTTTGCTTGCGTTTCTTGCGCCTCATTTGCTTTTTTTCACTCAAGTTTTGACCCAAGTGTTTTTACTAGAGCGAGTGTCTTTACATGGGAGATTTAGCATTTTCTGCCACTTTCTCCTCTATTCTTTACTTCGCCTGTTTGAACCAGAAACAGTTTTCCCACCTTGCTCCATTTATCAAGCTTTGTAAATAATTGCTTCAATATTGAGGTCTCGACATAGTGAGGAGCGCGGAAAATGGTGGCAATATAAGCGTGACATCATATGAAGAACTGGAGAAGGAATTCATGCATGGCTCAAACCCCGATTTCCCTCTTCATCCTGGAGATCTGAAAAACGCTGTTGTAGGATTCATTAATAGGTCCGTTGTTTCGCTTTTTTTAAAGTTAGTTTCTCTAGAACTTTGGACTTCATACAGCTTTGTTCAACTACTGCACTTGGGGCAGGAGTAGGGGAAATCGTTCAAGTTAAGTTCAGTTACGGTTCAAGTTAAAGCTGTTTTGTCATGATAACTGCGCGGAAAAACTGCTGCCACTCTGAGAATTGTGGGTTAGCCATGTAAATCTTTCGGGTTTCCCATAATGTATATAAGGCTGCGTTTATACTTTGCGGCAGCGTAGCGTAGCGCTTCCAGCGTACGCCAGCGGCAGTGCCGGGGAGAGGATGCATATCGATCTAGCGTTCCCAGCGTCACCAGCGTCACGCTAGCGTACGCTAGCGTTTCTCCAGCGTTTCACCAGCGTTTTGCTAGCGTTTGCAGCGGCAGGGGAGTAGAGACTATGGGAGAGCTGGAGGGTACAAAACACATCGATTGCGCGTCTCTCACTCGCCCTCAGTCTCTACAATACACATCGATTCCGCGTCTCTGACGGCCACATAGTCTCTACAATACACATCGATTCTGCGTCTCTGACGGCCACATAGTCTCTACAATACACGTCGATTCCGCGTCTCTGACGGCCACATAGTCTCTACAATACACGTCGATTCCGCGTCTCTTACGGCCACATAGTCTCTACTCCCCTGCCGCTGCAAACGCTAGCAAAACGCTGGCGAAACGCGCTGGTGACGCTGGGAACGCTAGATCGATATGCATCCTCTCCCCGGCACTGCCGCTGGCGTACGCTGGAAGCGCTACGCTACGCTGCCGCAAAGTATAAACGCAGCCTATGGGCATTGCAGAGAGACACAAATAGCACAGCAGGGTCTTGAGCGCACTGCTTGCTGCGTAACATTGTTTCTATTTCTAATACGATCTAGTTTGTGGACCTCCTTGCGATGGATACCAATACCTTCACGGGATATTTAGATTCTTCGATCCTGTTCGAGAACGATTTGCCTCCAGTCAAGCTTCATTGATAGCCGCAGCTTTTCCCAGTAGCAAGAAGGGAAAGAAATAACGAAACCTAATTTGCTAATTGAAGTGTTCGACTGCGCTTATTTAATCACGTTCTAACGTATTGTCGGTTCTTCTATGTACCACACTGGGCGCACTTCAGCAACAGGAGAGTGGGGGGAGGGGCGGCATTTTGCACTTTCGCTGCTTCCCTTTGCTGTTTCGCACCACCGAATGTCGCTCTTAAAGGACAGAGTGAAGCCCTGAGGTGATGCGTCAAAGTTTGGAAAGTGGAGCGTTGAACAAATCAAGGGGAAGTAGCGGAATTACAGAATAATCTCCTTCCCCCCCCCCCCCTCGCACGGCGCCCCAAATTGTGCTGTGACGCACGAGTTCTTTTTTTCCAATAGTCATGGTGTTAGGTGAACTCAAAGGAATTCCTGTGATTGGTTGTTTCATAAGTTGTTGCTTGTTTCTGAATCTTCTTATTTATTATACAAGTGGAATTAACTGGAATCAGAATTGAAAACGATCTATCGGTGCTTGTTAATTTTTACGCTCTATGTCATTGTTATTCAAAGCTATTACATTTGTTGTTCTTGTTGGGAATTAATTTTTTTCTTGAATTTTCGAATATGAATTGATATGAGATGATTGGTCTTCACGATGTTATGTGGATGTTCCATTGTAAACCGTCATCAGCAGTAGACCACGAACTTGGAAGTTTTAGCGATTTTTGTAGCTTGATTCAATAGCTACAGTACAGAGCTTTGCCCACACACTGGCCCTACCGTTGATGATCTTGCAAAGAAAAAAAAGCGAGCCTCTTAAATGGCAGATAAGTCAATAAGCATGACTTGCGATGAGGTGCGGACGACATCCAAAGCTACTGGACTGTTCATTATGGTGGGGGGGGGCTCGTCCATGGTGGTGAACTGGAGGGACCTTTAGACAGGACGCAAAGCATAGAAAGCATCCCGGTGAGTCAAAACATACTGCAGTTAAATGCGGACGTCCGAAACGCGTCTGCTGTTGTGCCCCTCATTAGGTTCCGTTCATACTTTGCGATTCGATTGTCTGGATTGAGCGATGGGATGTTGAACTCTCACGTGGGAGCTCTACGATCAGTGACAGTAATACAGAGCCA